TGGGTGTTTACTGCTGGTTTATTATCCTATACAATGCCCCAGACGTATGCTCCCACTTCAGCCAGAACCAACCCCAAGTCCAGGGCTTGGCCACCATGCCCAGGTGAGTGACCTCCAATCCCCACGGAGTCTCTCTCTCTCTTGTCCCACGGGCATGACCTTTTGGCTCTTCTACAAATCCGAGTCCCCACTTGCCCACGATTGCCCGTCTCCGGCCGCCAGTGGCGGAGTAGGGGGCCCGGTCCCTCCCTTTCCCCCAGGTCCTGGCCAGAGCCCTAAGGTGGGGTCACAACTGCTCCCCTGTCTGGTTGATGGGGAATCCTCCCGAAGCGCATCAACCCGTGGGCCCAAAGAGCTCTGCCCGGGGCTACTTCCTACTTCTTGCCCCCATCCCCGGGCTCCGCCGATTCACTGAACGCGATGCAGTCCTACCCTCAGAGCGTCCCGCCGTGGGGCTCGTGGCGGGAGTGGCTCTGGAGCCTTTCGCTCCTCTTCCCCCGTCTGCTCACACTGGGGGGTTCCGAGCCCACCTGCCCCTCTCCCCGGGCTCCAGGGTCAGTCTCTCCTCCCTTCTCCGCATCCCCCGGGTTCACCTCACCCGCTGGCCTTTCCCGCAGGCACCCTGGCATGGTGTCGACGTCGTGCCTGGTCTCTGCCCTCTTCCCGGCAGTCTGCTCTGCTCTCACTGTTCCGTCTGCCTCCCAGCTGGATGCCCGGGAACAGGCGCCGCACAGCCTCCGTCCTGTGAAGGTGCTCCCCACAACGCCAGGAAGAACCCGGCATGAGTGCGCCCCGTCACAGCACATGGACGGTACCGCTGGCCCAAGGGCCCCAGTCCTGAGGCCAAGCTTGGATGGGCCAGGCTTACCTGAGGCCCACATGACTGAGTGCTTGTTCTGAGAGCTCACAGGCAGGAATTGGTGGCAACAAGCAAACCTGTGGGGGGGGGGAGTTCCAATGGATGCTCCCCCAGTGCTCTGGGGGGAGCCAGGGGTCTCTCCTGAGCTACCCAGCACATGGGCAGGGTCTGGTTTGTAACAGTCTCTCTGCAAGGGCAGCGGAGGAACAAAGGGGCCCCCGGTGCAGGAAGGGTGGCCACAGCTGTGGTGATTTCTCTGTTGGGGAGGGCTGAGGAGAGAGCAAAGGGGCCTGCTAAGCAACCCACTCCCTGGGGCAGGCAGCTGTGCAGCTGAGCTGTGACCTGCTGCCTTCACTTTCAGTATGAGTCAGTCCCGCCCCAGCTCTCTATATAAGGAGGAGGCTGTGCCCAGCCTGTGAAGATCACAGCTGGAGACCTGACTGCTCAGCAGCACAGTGAGTGGAGGGGCTATGGGTGAGAGATGATGCCAGTGGAAGGCTGAGGGAGAGGATGTAGCTGCCCCCCCCACAGTTTCCCAAGGAGCAGGCTGGCTGGCAGTCAGAGGGGCTGTGTTTTAGGGAGTGGGCTCCATGTGGGATGCTGTTCAACAGGCATTGGGGCTGAGTGTCAGGGAGGGGCTCTGTGCTGCAGGGAATGGCTGGGGCCCCACTTGCTGCAAGGAGGGGGTGTGGGGTCATGGGGGCTTTGTGCTGCAGGGAATGTTGGGCTGTGGACCCAAGGAGCAGGCTGGCTGGCAGTCAGAGGGGCTGTGTTTTAGGGAGTGGGCTCCATGTGGGATGCTGTTCAACAGGCATTGGGGCTGAGTGTCAGGGAGGGGCTCTGTGCTGCAGGGAATGGCTGGGGCCCCACTTGCTGCAAGGAGGGGGTGTGGGGTCATGGGGGCTTTGTGCTGCAGGGAATGTTGGGCTGTGGACCACACAAGTGAGAAGCAAAAAACCCCCAAATCCTCTAAAACCCCTCAACCCTCACGGATGTGGCCCCCAACTGAGACACCTCACTCCTCTGGTGCTCCATTGCCATGGTGTTAGGGTGGCAGTGAGGACTAAGGTTCAGGGCTCCTCATAGATCAGATTTACTCTTCAGGGGCTCAAGGTTAGTGGATTTTATGGACCCCCCCACCTCTGGGATGGAGACATAAATGAGGGGTTCAGAGTGTGGGAAATGACTGCCAGCAAGTGGGATGGGGCTGCAGGGTTTCGGCAAGAGGTGGGCTGCAGAAGGGGTGAGGGTGCAAGGTCTGGATGAAGGTCTGTGGCGGGTGCTGGGCTGCAGGGGGTGGTGTCTGGGTTGAGGGATGAAGCACTGGGCAGCAGCTCAGGGAGGATACGTGTTCTGTGGGTCAAATCGGCAGCCAGGGGATGGAGCAGGCCCTGGTCTGGAGCGGCAACGAGGCAGGTGGGGTCGCTGTGGAGAATGGATCCGGTTCCCCTGAGTTTAACAAAGCCCCGTGTTCAGTGCGAGCAGAGAGCGTCTCTTGCTGAGATGCTTCCCGTCTTCCCAGCACAGGGAGGGAGCTGGGCACTGGGTGTCTGGGAGGCAGGGACTGGCAAAAGGGCTCGGGCCGAATGGAGGAGCAGGTGCAAACGGGAACTCGCCATGGAGTGACAAACAGCTTCTCCCTCAGGCGGAATTACCTCGTTCTTGCCTTGCGCTGTGGGGAGCTGACAACACCCCCGCTGTGTGTGGCCCTTCTCCTCAGGCAGGAGGGTTAAACGGTCCCTGGGCTGCAGACGGTGGGAAAGTGATAGAAATAGACACTCAAGTGTTCACGGCCTTGGCTCTAGGGCCCATTTGGTGGAGAATGAGCTCAAAGAAAAGGAATAATCATGCGTTGCAATGCCGGCTGGGCAGCGTCGGGAGAGGTCCTATTCCCCATAATGCATACATTTCTGGGGTCTGCTTCCTGCCTTGCCCATATTCTCCATGTGCTAATGACGTCCGGAGCGATTAGAATAAGGTATCTGGGGGCAGGGCAGGGGGTGGTCTTCACACGCTCCCCTTCAGCAGGCGCCTTTCATCCCCATCCTAGTCCTGCAGGGATCTTCCACCCCATCTGGAAGGGGCCTTTTCTTCCCCTCCACCTAGCTGCAGTGGCCGTTTCTCACCCACATCCAGAGGGTTTTCTCCCTCTGCTGTTGGCTTCAGCAGGGAAGTAGGGACAGTAAGAGGAGAGAGACCATGTCTGGCAACATGTCAAACCCCATCCTCATACAGACACTCTTTTGGTCTTCCCTGTACTCCCGGCCCCCTGGTGGTCACTCTGCAGTACACCATCCCTCTGACCAGTCCCTGCATTCACTCTGCAGTATAGCATCCCTCTGTACAGCCCATCCCTTTGCATGTGATAGGAAACAGTCCAATTGCAGGCACTTTCCATTTTCCTTGCACAACCAAATCTGCTACCGAATTTGGTGGTCCTAGCTCTTACCATTTAGCATGACCTCTTCAGAAACAGACTCAAAGACTGAAAGATGCGGAGACAGAGAGGTGTGAACATTTCCGAAATATATAGATAAATAATTAAACTGCATCACTGAATGGGAGCTACATAAGATACATTTTGTTCTGTTTTTTCTTTTTTCAGCAAAAAAAATGGGTAGAATCTGCCCCCCACCCCCGCACGGTTCAGGCTGTGTTTGTGAGTTCATTGCTTGGTTCAGAGCTGGCATTGATGCTCCAGTGCACATCCTGTGGTCTAAGTTGAATGGCAGGTGACCTGTGCTGCAGAAGCCATGGCACAGTGCACTTGCCGTCTTCTGGGTTTGTGTGTTCTCTGTGTCTGGGGCAAGGCAAACTTCCAACAGTCTTCTGTCTGCATTGACAGCAGGATAATTTGCAATGAAATGGGACTGCTACGCTCTTAGGCCTTACAGCACATTGTTAGCTCCCTGCTACATATATAAACATAGAGGCGGATCTTTCCCACCACTTCTGTTTTTCCTTCCCTCGGGAAATTAGTGTGACCCTTCTGACAGGTCAGGGTCGCGTTCTATATCTAGGGTCCTTTCCCACACTGTACCACAGACCAGCTAGAACCCCACCCAGCGACCTGGGGAAATTACGTTGCCCCTGGCTGCCTCGGCCAGGCCGCACTTCCCTGCCGCGCACACGGACTGAGCGGAGAGAAACCACCAACGAAAGAAGTTCCCTGACATTCATTAGGGAAACGCCCCGAGCAGGCTCCTCCCAAAACTGAGCAGGACGCCCACCCCAGAGTCCCTGGGGCAGAGCCTTGGGCCTCGTGTTCGTGGGTTCTACAGCCAAACCGTCCTTCCCTGGGCCCCTCTCTGCTCCCTCTTCCCCTCACAGGCTGCCCTTGGTCAGGGAGGCCCCAGCGATTGTTCACCTCTCACCCCGGGGTGGGGAAGAAGGCATCTTGCGGGCTCAGGCAGCGGAGCAATTGCTCCGGCTGCCTCTCCAGCTCACTCCCACTGCCCTGCCAGCCAGTCTTCACTCACCTTCTGCTCCACCTGCCTCTGCTGTGAGCCCTGCAGGGCACTCTCCTGAGGTGCCGCCCAGCCCGTAGGCAGCGTCACTGCCGAGTGAGCTCATACAAACCGAGGGTTCCCAGTGGAGCCTCTGTCTGTGTAACCAGGGTGGGGAAGCGGTTAAACCAGACCAGGGACCTGAAGCAGAATCCACACTGTGACGAGTGGGATCACAGGGGTCCCTTGGGGTTCTCATTCGGAGGAGGGATCAAGCCACTGAGCCCTCATGCAGCCCCTCTGGAGCACCCCACCCCCACAAGTGCTGGTTGCAGCTCCGCACCGGGAGGGCTCAGCTGTAGCCCTGCCGCACCCAGGAACACGCACCCCAAAGGGGCCAGAACCCAGAATAATCCTGTTTTCCTTTGTATAAATGGGTTACAGGAAAGCTTATCCCCCCCCTTATCAGGGAATGAGAGGTGGCCAGTGGTTGCTCCCCCTCCCGGGTAACAGCTATTCACACGGGCCTTGTATGAAAGATGAATAGTCAGTTAAGGGATTGCACGTGAAAAGTGAAGCTCAAAGTAAGTCACTCAGCCAAAATAAACAAACACGCCAGCTAGTTCCCTAAGGAACCTGTTCTATGGATCTCCTCACTCTAAACAGCTGTTCTAATCCTCTCTCTCTCAAGCTAGGCAGCCTCTGACCTTGGGCCTGATCCTTCCTCCTGCGCAGTCTTAGGAGTGTCCAGCTGGCATCGTAAGTGGTAAGTGGGAATCTCCTGGCACCCGCCTGTATTTTTTGGTCCCCCCTGTAATACAGCTTGTTGCTCAAGGCAGGAATTCTCTGTGCTCAGTCCAAACTCTTCTTGCCATGAGTGGGAAAGTGCCACATGCAAAATGGTCCCAGCATCAGGTGGGGAAAATGGGACTCGCACAAAGAGACAAACAGGCTTATTATCTAGCAAGGAAAGTTTGCAGGCCTGGCCGGACCAGACCCCTGCCAACTCTGCAAGCCTTCCCAAGCCCCCACTGACTCTGAAATATCCCCAAACCACGCAGCCGCTTGTAACTGTAAAGATGAAATGGTACAAGGCGGGGTGTGGCCCCCAGCTTGCCTGGATCTGGCCCCCGAGGCTCAGGGCTCCCCCACCAGCACTGGGGAGCCTGTGCTGCTGCTCCAACTCCCTGTGATCCCCTCGGGGCCCCCAGCCTGGTCTCCCCTAGGCTCTGGTGTGCGAGGGGAATGTGGGGAGTGTCTCTCCTTCTCAGTCGGGGCCCACATCAGGGAGGGGCTTCTTGGTTTTTATTTTTGCTTCTCACTTGTGCATGGCCCCCGACTGATTTTTTTTTTTCTGAGGGTCGGTTCACCCCCCCCCCCCATCTCTCCTGTTCCAAGCTAGCTGCTGGAGAAAGCTCATTCAGGCCTTGGATGTTTGGAACTGTCTATTTGTTACGGATTCCCCCTTTAATACAATCAAACATCCTAGAGCATCGCTATTGCCGGAGGCTGGGTGTTTGCTTCTAGGCAAATCAGCCTATGTTAACCTTCATCACAGCCTCATGCAATTGAAATTGATGTCAGAATGAACTCGTCCCCCAACCAGTCACAAGCTCTGAAGGGAAGAGATTTGTCTGATTGATCCTAATCAGACACATCACTGGATGTTTGTCTTTTCCTTTGTTCAGATCTGCAGTAAGAGGAACTGAGCCGTTGCCGAAGGCTGCCATGACTGATAAAAAGGAAATTGAACACCTGAAGGCCATCGCTGAGACAGGAAACATCACAGAAGCTGCTGCTAAACTGCAGGAGAAGCTGGAGTCATTGGATGACACCCCACTAGACATCGCCATCACGGGAGAGTCGGGGTCAGGGAAGTCATCCTTTGTCAATGCCATCCTGGGCCTGCGTGATGATGATGAAGGTGCTGCAGCGACGGGGGTGACAGAAACAACGATCGAGCCAAAGGCTTATTCACACCCCACTCTGCCAAATGTAAAAATCTGGGACCTGCCAGGAATCGGGACCCCCGATTTTCAGGCAGACAATTACCTCAAGCAGGTAAATTTCAACAGCTACGACTTCTTCATCATCATCGCCTCACAGCGCTTCATTTCCCACCACGCCTCCCTGGCCCGTGAGATTCACAAGATGGGCAAGAAGTTTTATTATGTGCGCTCCAAAGTGGATAATGACTTGAAGGCTGAAGAAAGGAAAAGGAATTTCAACAAGGAGAGAACTCTGTATATGATCAGGGAGAATTGCAAAGAAAACCTGAAAGCGTTGGGTGAAGCCCCCCGATGGGTTTTCCTGATCTCCAGCTGGGAACTGGCTGACTATGATTTCCAGTTCCTGCAGGAGACACTGGAGAATGAGCTGGATGCTCAGAAGAGACACGTATTCATCCTGGCCATGCCCAACATCTCGGCAAAGATTGTGGAAAAGAAAAAAGCTGAACTGCAGGAGCTTATCTGGGAAGCAGCCCTGGTGTCGTGTGTTATGGGTGCTCTTCCTATTCCAGGCCTTTCTCTCGTCTGTGATGTAGTCATCTTGATGTCTCGCATGAAGCATTTCTGCAAGTACTTAGGCTTGGATGAGGAATCTCTCAGCAAACTGGCCAGTCAGGTTGACAAACCCGTTGAAGAACTGAAATCGGTCATCCAAAAGTCTCCACTGGCCTCAACCGTAACAAAAGACTTTGTAATGACTCTGCTTTCTAGATCTACAGCTGGAGGCCTGATGGCAGTTGAACTTCTTCTGGATTTTGTACCAGTCCTTGGCTCCCTGGCAGGTGGAGCACTATCTCTTGGGACCACACGCTACATGCTGAAGAGCTTTCTGGATGATGCTGCGGAAGATGCTAAGAAAGTTCTAACCAAGTTCCTTGAACTGAAAGCTGAAAAAGTTGCACAGCAGTAACAAAGCGACCTACACGTGTACAAAGAAAACCCTCCGTGCCCAGCCCAGCCCTCTCAACCTCTAGAAGTGGGTGAGAACAACAAAACCAACAGACACAAAACTGCACCTGAATCCAACAAACAGCAGAGACAACGACCGAGTCAGATCACACAGGATACTGGTGAATCAAAAGCTTGTCCCTTCCCTTGCAATATCTCCAGGGGCTCACAGCTGAGAGTGATAGGAAGGGGAAGAGCAAGAAGCAACCTGGTGTGAGCCCTGGGGGGAGGCATCACTTCCCTGCCCTCCTGAACTCCCACACCCCTGACCTGAGTGCCCCACAGCCCCTTCCTCCAGCACGGACTCCTGAAACCCCACAGCCGTATGCCTGCCCTGAGCCCCCCACAATCCCAGGCCCCAGCCCAGACTCCAGCACCCCTTCACCTCCGCCCCTCCTCACCCTCCAACCCTGACTCCTGCGCACCCCACATTCCCACCGCCTACTGTGAGCCGCCCCCACACTCCAACCCCCTGCCCTGAGAACCTCCTCACCCCAACCCTGAATTCTGCACCCCCATCCACTAACCACATACCTTGAGAGCCTCCCCACCCCAGACCTGACTCCTGTAACCCCCACTCCTCCTGGCCCTGGCTCTGAGCCCAACCCTGATTCTTGCATCCCCTGGATCCTGCAGCCCCCTGTCCTGAACCCCTCCTCCCCCCAGTCCTGACTCCTGCACATCCCTGACCCCCAGACCCAGGCCCTGACACCAGAACCCCACTGTAGAGAGACTCCTATGCAACTTTCAACCCTGACTCCAGCACCTCCCAGCCCTCTGCCCTGAGCCCCTGCCGTCTCCTAGCCCTGTCTCCTGCACCCCAGGCCTTCATTACCTGAGCCCCTCTTCACCCCCATCCTAACACCTGAACCCTCCACAACCTCTGCCCTGAGCCCCTCCTCACCCCTATCCCTGTTGCATCCCCACACCCCCAGCCTCTGGCCTTGAGCACCCCCTAACCCCATCTGTGATTCCTGTATACACACACACACACACACACACACACACTGAGCAGCCCCTGGCCATGAGCTCCTCTTTGCCCACCAACCCTGACTCCTTCACCCCACCCCCACACAACACTCTGTCCTGAGCCCATCCTCACTCCCCCAACCCTGACTTCTGCAGGGCTCCCATCACTGAGGGGGGTGTGGTGGGATATGACCCCTGCTGCCATCCCACACCAGCCCACCCCCAGTAACCCTTAAAGAACTGCTCCAGAGGATGCAGTCTCAATGAGGGCAGAGAGCAGAGCATTGTGGGAAGGGGCAGAGCTTGGGGACATCCTCCTGGGATGCTGGGAGTCCTAGGTTGTATTGCAAAAGTGCTCAGGCTGTAGTTGGTCTCCAGGCCATGACTTTGCGCCCCATGGTGAGGTTGCTGTTTACAGTGGTGCAGAGGGGGGATCCATCACGGTAGGGTGTCCACCTTTGTGAGTGTCCCCAGCGAGACTGGGAACCAAGGGCTAACCTGCTTGTTTGCATTTAAGTATCTTTTCCTGTAGGTTTTTGTTTCCTTCTGGCTATTATAATAGGCTACATATGAAAGTAGTTTTGCAGTTAGGCTGTAACGCAAGGGACCTGCAGGCCACGTCCTGTATGTCAAGCTAAGGCAAAGTTAGCCAACCTACGTGTGGGACACTTTCTCTCTGGGTGAAAGTCAGGCTACATCTAGACTGCAGCCTTCTTGTGCAAGGAGTTTTTTTCAGAAGAGATCTTCCACACAAACTTCTTGTGCAAGAGAGTGTCCACATGGCAAAAATGCATCGGAAAAGCAATGTGCTTTTGCACAACAGAGCATCCAGACTCTCGCAAGTAAGCAGTGATGGCTTTGGACAGAATAGCCATGAGACTACCTGTGCCTTTTCCTCTTCCCTCTTCATGCACAAAAACTTCTCTTTCCATCCACACACGCGTCTTTGTGCAAGAGTTCTTGATTAGAAAGGCATTCTTCCTCGTAGAATGAGTATTAACAATTGCACAAACCCCCCTCTGGATTCTTTCACTTACTCAACCAAAAACATGCTTGAGGTGTGGACTCTGCAAGGTTTTGTGGAAAAGCTCTGTAGTATAGACATAGTCTGGGTGTGCACATTCAGGATCTTACAGCACAATAGAGCGACTTTCAGTGGCATAGGGGCATCCAAGAATACTCTCTCACTCAGCTGGAACACCACCTCTTGGAGAAACCCGCAATCACCAGGTAGAATAGAGCCAGTAACTGCGCCAGGCAGAAAGAACTGATGTGGTATGTAAGCACGGAAGGGGCTATGGTAACACATGGACATACAGGAGAAGAAATGGGGGTCAATGGTAGACTGACCGATAAGAAGCGACAGGAATATGGAGTAAGGGAAACATCGGCTCCTGAATATGCATCGAGCAGAACAACGTCAGTGCACCGGATGATCAAAGTGGCACCCCAACCTAAAGGCGGTAGGAAGAGAAGTGGTCCGGGGCAGTGCCAGAATGATGGCCCCTGATGGTGAGGGGAGGGTGATAGAGGCAAATGAGGGTTAACACCTCAACTTGCTCTAGAAGGAATGGGGTGGGTATAAGGCTCTGTAGATGTACAGTCCCTCTCTATCTTGTGGTGTTCAAGTGTTTGTGACTGGGCCCCATGTATTAATAAATTCTATTTGCAAATATACAAGAGCGCCTGTAGCATGAGTGTGGCATCTGTGCACATTCATTAAATTATGGGCCTGATCCTGGGGCAAGAGCTGCCAGCCCTCCAGGTGGTAACTGGAAATCCCTTAGGATATGTCTACACTACAGTGTTAATTTGAGAACTATTTTGAATTAAGATAATTCGAATTAATGCGTCTACACACAAAATGCTTTTTGAATTAGCATCTTGCTAATTTGAAATACTGCGTCCACACCGAGTGGACATGGATTCAGATGTAAGGCCGGCCGCAACCAGGTCGGGTGGGCATCAGGTCAGGAGTGTCTTTGTGTGGCTGTTGCCTGAGGCTTGTGCTTAAAGGGACACACACAAACATCCCTCCCCTCCCCTCCCCTCCCCTGGACAGCCAGTTCTCAGGTGTCCCTGCTTGCTTGCCTGCCTCGCTGTGGGAGAGCAAAGCATTTGTCTCGGAGTGCTGTGGTTGCCCTCACTCAAGACACCGTAGAACTCTACACCATGGAGCTAGAGCTGCTCCTGGGCACTCTGGTGCATCTAGTGGATGCACCAATCAGCCTGGCTGCACTTGCTGCAGGCTGCCATCTGGGAGGTCCATCGGGGGGCTGTCAGTATCCAGGAGGCCCTGCAGGAGAGCATCCACCCTGAGGAGCACTAGGAGCCTCCCTGGTCTACCCCCCTGGGGCCTTCTGCCTCATTCCTCCCTCACGTTCTTCCACTGACCCCTCCCTAGCCCCCTTCCCGATATATTTTCATAAACACAAACTCTCTTTATTTAACAAAATTGGGGTGGATATGAAACTCCATTGAGACTGGGGAAAGGAAGCAGGAGAGAGGGAGGGAGACGGGAGGGGGAAACCTGGGAGGAGGAAGGGGGAGGAGAAGCTCAGGGTTGGGGGTCTTGCCGGCCCTCCTGTCTCACAGTACTGCATGTACAGGAGCCTCGGCGTCCCGGGGCGGGGGGGGTGGAACGGGCATAGCGGGTGGTTCAGGTGGGGAGGGGGAGAGCAGAGTGGGTGGAAGAAGCGGGAGGGGGAGCAGACGCGATCACTACGGTGGCCACGGGCGGGGGCGGGCGCA